TTGCTGGAGCAAAGGCATAGCAGCAGGAACAGTTGGAAATCACATCTTGATCCACAAACAAGAGGCAGAGAGAAAGCTAACTGGAAATGGTGTGTGTTTTTGAACTTTCAAAGCCCAGCCCCATTGACATATCTTCTCCATTAAGGCCACGTCTTCGAATCCTTCCTAAACAGCTCCAATAATTGGGACCCAAGTATTGAAACATATGTACCTATGGGGACCATTCTTGTTCAAACCACCACACAATATGAAGTCGTTACTGAGATAATAACTTTTTTACATAATAAACCTTTCAAATCCAGTATGAATTTTGTAGCTATGTCATTTCTCAGTTCATGTGAGTCTCACATCAAGTTTTCAATAACCCTGTGAGGCTAATAGCTGGTATACTGGACAGTTTAGCTGAATGTATATTTTAATTTGTATAAATCTGTTAAACTAAAATTGAAATTATAATGTAAGCTAGTTAACACTCATTAAAAGAATAAGTATCCCTGTCAGGTCTCACATCTAGTGCCCTGCATCAGTCTGGAGTGCCCTGCCTGGGCTAACCTCTAGGCTTCCATGCTACCTGCTACCAGTCATAGATCCCTCTGCTTGACATCCAGCCTGTCTGCCCGGCTAGACTTTCCATACCTGTCTTCAGGGTCTAGCCTAGCATACTTCTCTGATACACATATCTTTGTTTTCTTCTCAGTCCATCAGCTCTAGCTCAGTCCTACATCCTCCTCTGCTTGGACTGCAAACAGCCAGTAGGCTTTGGACAGGAGTCTCCATACCCATCTATCACCCGACCCACAGGTCCTTCCACGCCACCTTTAACCTTTCCTTCCCACTCCATCTCCTCTCAAACACCAGGCTTGATTCAGAAAGCACATCCAGTACAGTAGCCCAGTACCCTCTGCCCACCTGACTTCATTCAAATGAAGCCATTTCCAGTTTTGAGGACTAACCTGCTTACACATCCTCTCTTCTCTCCCAACCTGCTACGTCCATATCAATGTAGAAGTGACAACTCAAGTTCACATAGCCTTATCTCATCAAAAATATCAACAATATGGAAGATTAAGCCACTATATATATTCTTTCCAAAACCTACCAGTTCTATTACATAGATGAATCCCTGAACACAGAATTTAAAAGAACAATAATAAACTTCATTAATGAATTCAAGGAGTTGGAAAGAAACAGCTCAATGAACTTAAGAAGACAAAGCTCAAGGAGCACAAATGCCTGAGTGATGTGAGTAAAACTCAAACACAAGGCTTACAAATAGAACAAAGCAAGCAGAAGACAGAAGAGCAGGACCTGGAGAAAAGGCGCAGGAGCTGTGCCTCATAAAGAAGGAACAGGAAAAAAAATGACAAGAAAGGCTCATACAGAACATATGGGCTAGGACATGAAAACCTTTGAATTCTAGGCATAGATGAGGATAAAGAATCAAAAGTCAATAGAATATACCACATCTTCAACAAAATCATAGAAGAAAAAGCCCCACACTACGAAAAGGCATACACATACAGATACAAAGAAGTACACAGGGCACCAAATAGACAACACTGGAAAAGAAAATCTCAATAGCATATCATAATTAAGACATTAAGTATATATAACTTAAAAAGTATATCGAAAGCATATCATAATTAAGACATTAAGTATATATAATTTAAAAAGT